AGTTTATAACTCGTAAGTACATGTTTATCCTATGCTATCTCACGACCAATTTGTACGAATTTGATGCATGATTAAAAAGTGTCTAATTCGTACGACCTCACTCATACGAATTTGTACGATTTGTATAAACCCACGTGATGGTTAGGTTTAGGGGCGGGGTAAGGGGTAGGTCATTCATACGAATTCATACGAATTGGCCAATTCGTAAAATATGTACGATATAGCAAAATCGTACTAATTCGTACGAGTGAGGTCGTACGAATTAGTACGAATTAGACACTTTTTAATCATGCGTCGATTTGGTACGATTTGGTCATGAGATCGGGTTGGTTTATCTCTAACATTTCTGAGAAAAAAAATCTGAATTGTGAGATTTAATTTAGTAATTGCAGGAAAAGAGTATGGATTGCCAGCAATTTTTTTCTTAGAATTGCGAGATTTAAATTTCTCAGACATAAACTCGATATTGCGAGAAAAATCAGCTGACATTTTTTCTGAGAATTGCACGATTTAAAGTTTTCAAAATTGCGAGATTTAAATTTCCCTGATTCGCAATTGCGAGAAAAAAGTATGAATTGTTTGCTGACTTTTTTTCTTAAAATTGCAAGATTTCAGTTGCTCAGACATAAACTTGCAATTGCGAGAAAAAAGTATTAATTGTCTGCTGACTTTTTTTCTTAAAATTGCGAGATTTAAAGTTCAGAATTGCAAGATTTAAATTTCTCAGATATAAACTCGCAATTGTGAGTAAAATCTAAGAAATATCAGGTGATATATTTTTTCTTAGAATTGCAAGATTTAAGTTGCTCAGACATAAACTTGCAATTGCGAGAAAAAAGTATGAATTGTCAGCTGACTTTTTTTCTTAAAATTGCGAGATGTAAATTTCTCAGACATAAAGTCGTTATTGCGAGTAAAACATATGAAATGTCAGCTGACATCTTTTCTAAGTCTTTTCAGTATTGCGAGATTTAAATATCCCTGATTTGCAATTGTGAGAAAAAAGTATGAATTGTATGCTGACTTTTTTTCTTAAAATTACGAGATATAAGTTGCTCAGACATAAACTTGCAATTGCGAGAGAAAAAGGATGAATTGTCAGCTAACTTTTTTTTTTAAAAATGCGAGATTTAAAGTTTTCTGAATTGCACAATTAAAATTTCTGAGATATAAACTCACAATTGTGGGTAAAATCTCAGAAATGTCAGCTGATATTTTTTTCTGAATTGCAAGATTTTAATTTCTCATACATACAGTAAACTCGCAATAGGGGATTATCACGCTGATACGTAGTACTTCCGGATTCTGTGATCTTTGTGCACTGCCACTTCCGTTGAATCACCGATCTCGCTGGCGAACTGATGACGGACTACACTAAGTTTATTTATACGACATCCCTGGGAAATTCGTGTGATTCACTAAAGTGCCGGCAGCATCCCTGGTAAATTCGTCTGATTCACTAAAGTGCCGGCTGCAAACAAACGTGCTACCTTGATTTATTTTAAAGTTTTAATCAATTTCTTCTTTATACTCAATTCAGTCGGGAATCCATGGAAATTTAAGTAGGGTTGGCGTTGTTTGTTAGATTTACAAAGTGAAACAGAGTAGTGACATAAATAGCATTCGTCTCAGGCATTGTTGAACTGCGTCGGAAGTGGACATGCACAAAGTTGAAAAATCCCGCCCATGAAACCCGGAAGCGTGATAATCCCCTATTGCAAGAAAAAAGTATGAATTTTCAGCTGACCTTTTTCCTTAGAATTGCGAGATTTAAATTTCTCAGTTATAAACTTGCAAATGTGAGAGAAAAGTTAGATTTGTGAGATTAAAAAGTCGCAATTACTTTTTTTTTTCAGGCAGACACAAGCTTACATTATCTGAGGACAGAAGTTGGCACAAAACAAAAATAGAAATAATCATAAATCTGTTAATATTCACTCCAAAAACTGCTGGGTTGTTTCAACCCACGTTTGTGTCAAATATGGACATACCCAACCATTGGTTTAAAATTTTAATTTAGATTTCTAAATGTAATAGTTGGGTTTGTCCATACTTGACCCAAATAGGTTGAACCAACCCAGCAGTTTTTTTTAAGAATGTTCTATGTTTATATGTATTTTATGTTAGTTCATGGAGTTTTCAGGGAATTTTTAAGCCTGGAAATTCAGACATATGAGAATCCTTTTATAAATAATATAGGAATAAATAATATGTTTTAAAGTAATAAAGCTTAAGTGCATTTTTTTCCGTAGCTTGGCCTTTTAGTTATGTAACTTTGTCCCTTAGATCCCTTTGAAATTCTGTAACAACAACAGAAGAAGAATTGTGTCATAAACATGTTTTTTATCAGTCAGACAAGATGGCACACGTCTCTCTGAACTCATAACAGTCCTCTGAAGCCTCTTCCTGGCAAACAGCACACTACGCAACAGCTTTCCTTTCCATCGTAACATCGCAGGGATGGCAGCACAGGACTCTCAGGATAGGACGTAACCATTTTCAACACTTCCTCCAGCTTTGGGCCACAGAAGTCATTTTTGCGTGTTTTTTAAAGAGCGGTATGGCGGGGAGGGGTGAGACTGAAAACAAACGGACCTGCTCGGACACTTTGATCTTCGTTTCCTGCCAATTATTTACGTCTGTTTCTCACGAATCTTTTTTCGTTCTCCTGCTCTTGATTGCTGCTCGCTTCCCTCACTTTTCACCTTCAAACACAATGCGATTTCTCTTTAAAAGTTTCTGTGAGGAAGCTATAAAAACACAGTTGCTGGCTTGCTGCTGTTATTTGTTTGGAATATTGTGCCTTAAATGATTGATAACCCACAATAAAACAATATATTGTGATCCATTAATCTAGAAAAGTGGATAATTGGCATTCCTTATGTTACAAAAAATACAGTAAAATAAAATGAAAATAGCGATGATAATCAAGAAATAAATACAAAGTAAATATAAAACAATCTAATAATTAAATTCATTAATTATTATCATTAAAATAAGCCAATAAATAACATAGTTAGTAATTACAAATAATATTATAAATTAAAAGTGCTGAACAGACTTTTGGATATTATTATATGAATTAATTGTAATATAAAATATCTAAGAAATATCTGATGGATAATGTAATCCCAGACTTTGAATATCCTGCTTCACTCAGAAATATCACACATTAAAATGGGTTGTAAAAGCCAAGTCATGTTGCCTTCAAGACTAATGGTTATGTATCATGCAGAAATGAAATGGCTAATAAAACCAAAAAGCTGCAAAAGCAATGCAATGATTTGACTTTAATAGGCTGCCCGGCATCCAAACTATCTTGTCAACATAAAATGTTTGCCATATTCAGTCAAACATTAGTATCCTGGATGCATTGCTTATTCAAAAATGCATGCTAACCTTCATCACCAAAGTGTTTTTTGCTGAACTTTGCTGAAAACCCTTCATGGGGTATGAAAAGAATGATAAAGGGGCAGAGCAATCGGTAGCAGGACCTCCAGAGAGGGGCCATTAATCTGAGGCCTCCAGTCGCACCCGTAGCCTGACCGCCGTGACCACAGGCCCGTTCCCTTGACCCGCACACTGCAGCGTTCTGCTGAAAAGGCAGGTGGTAAAATGGCCATTTTGAAGGGAAGCAGGAATGATTGTGGCCTGTGTTGCTGGAGCAAAGCAAAAGGATGTCATTTAAGACCCCTACTTCAGAGGGTCACTCCTTTACTTTCTTTTAGTCTGCAGGAAAAGCTGGATGCGTGTTTTCTGGCTATTGCTGTATGTGCATCAGAGCACGATCTTACTATGATTCCTACAGGGATCAGCAGATTACTGATTACATAGCCTACTACACTGTAAAATATAAAACCACAATTTTTACGGTAAAAAAATGGCAGCTGTGGTTGCCAGAATTTTACCGTTAAAAATACGGTAGGAACATTAATGGTTGTAGAGACATAGCTTAAAATTTACAGTAATAAACCGTATTTCATTTACTGATAAAAAAGGTTGATTTACCAACCTTGAAAAATTGATATCTGTTTTGTACGATTGTAATACAGTAGTTATGAGAGTTACATGATCAATCAAAGCTCATCACAATTAGTCTTCCATTACAAGGTTAATACTTATATAATGAAGCTGCACAGCGTCATTCACACAGACATTAAACACCATCATGGTAACACACATGAAATTAAAAAATGCAATAAACATTAATTTAACAATATGAAAAAAAACACAAGAAAACCTTGAGGAACCATAGTTATTTCAATAACAATACATTAAATGTGAAGTGTCACACAGGGAATTGTGGGGATGTCAATTTACGGTTTTTCACTTCTTGTTCTTTTTCACTTTCAAAAGCTGTAAATTTAACGGTATTTTACAGTAAAATGATATCACAGTTATTTACCGTAGTACGGAAACTTTCTCAACCCGATCTCACGGGAATTCGTACGAATTTTTCGAGGTGGCTAATTCGTAACAATTCGTACGACCTCACTCATACGAATTAGTATGATTTTGCTAAATCGTACATATTTTACGAATTAGCCAATTCGTATGAATTCGTACGAATGACCTACCCCTTACCCCGCCCCTAAACATAACCGTCACGTGGGTTTAGACAAATCGTACAAATTCGTACGAGTGAGGTCGTATGAATTAGTACGAATTAGCCACGTTTGAATCACTCGTACGAATTCGTACGAATTGGTCGTGAGATAGCGTAGGTTAACCAATTAACAGTTTTGCACTGTAGCATTTTTACCATTAAAATCACGATTATTTTTTACTAAAAGTTTAATAGTGTCTGCCAAAGGAATGAATATAAATGTAAGATGTATAATGTATGTATATATATATATATATATTATACATTTTGTAACAGTTTTATTAATTACATTTATTTATTTTTATATACATTTCAATAGATTTCAATAAGTATACATATTTACAATTATAAATTTTGTATGTATATTTTAAACATAAATATAAACAAACCACTTTTAATGAAAAAAAAACATTCATTCTTTAGATCCAGCCCTCTTAATCCAATCACCTGGCATCAATCAACATATTAAATCCTCATTCATTCATTTCTTTCCGCTCTTATTAGTGTGTTATGCCTATTCCAGCAGATGATCTGCAGTGTTTTGGAGGGGGGAGTTGGGGACCCTGGTCTGCAGATGAAAGGCCTGTTGGGGCATCGCGTGTTTGGAGGGAGCAGTTGGGAGTCTGATGACAGAACGGTCTTTGGGAATTTAAGAGTAGCTTGGAGTGCGCTTTTTCCCTTTGGATGACAGCTCCAGGAAGGAAGGGTTTTCTTTTCAAAGGCTGTGGCTTTATTTATATTACACATTTTCATCGAAGGGCTCATTCAAAGGGAGATGGCTTTTTTTCTTCAGTTCCCCGCGTTTGTGTTTTATCACTGACGGTATGCTTGCTTCCGGGAAAAGTGGCCCTTATTTCTTTAAAACTGTCCGCCAGGAAACAAATACGCAGCAAAATCCAATTCTTCATATTTGATACACATTGGCTCTCTCACGTACACACACACACCCACAGTAAACAGTAAACACTGATTAGCTCTACTCACAGATCCCCAAACAGCCCCATCCGTCATTAGTCATTATTAGCCCAGGATGGCTAAATGATAAATTAGCTGTCATTCAAAAGAACCACATCATTTAGGACTGTATGATTCCTGACAAACAACAGTGTCAAGTGACCATTGGCCCCTCTGAGCGAATCACACTCCCTCTGGACGAAACCGTTCAACAGGGCAAGGAAAAATCAAAGAGAGGGCGTTCACCTGTTCCTACCTGTCAGATAAAATGAAGTGCAGAAAGAAAGCCCTAATAAGTTACAGTGCTTCAAATCACTGATGCCATCCTTTGTTGTCCTGCTGAGACTGATGAGCAGCAGTGTTTAATTGAATCATGTAGCACATGTCAAAACAGGAAATGAGGTCAGAGGAAATGAGCAATATGTGGAAGTCTGGTGACTACTCTTCATCAGACATGTGACCACGGTACAAAATACCAGCTACAAAAATGTACACTGTAAAACATTATATGATCAATAAGTAATGACAACATATGAATTACATTTTTAAGATTCAACAAATTCTTTTGAGTCAGTTTAAAGGTGGCATATGTAATAATTGAGGTAACAATATACGAAAAATGAGCTACACGCATCAAAAGAATGAGAAGAAATAAGTGCAAAGATGTCATTAAAAAACTGACAAGTTATAGTGCTGCCGAGATATTAACCTGAATTAGCATGCTAAATTACTAGCCCCGGCCCGGCAGGTATCGTAATACCAGTTCCGGCCATGGGAGGCGGTATGCGGACGGGCAACGTTAGCACCAGCCAAACTGCAATAGACGAGTGAGTCGCGCTCGCGCCGGCCGGCTTGTGTGTACTTGAACCTGATGTCAGTCGTGTGGAAATGCAGCCAATTACTACATTTCAGTTCAGGGAAGAGTTCAAAAAATGATTGGTCGACATTATGCATGAGGAATACATTTTGGTAAGTTGTAGCACACTGTATCTTTCACCAGTGTTCGTGTTCTTTTTCAAGCTAGTAGAGACGATCGGTTCACGTGCGCTAGGGATCTGTAGTGTAACATGTACAAGCGCCAAAACGGTATTTATTCTTTGAATTGCGCAATATAATTGACAGAATCTGAGAGCTTAACTAACCTGCTTGCTAAGTGTCAATTGCGTGTGTCTCACGGTGAATTCACGGCGCTAGCTTGATCAACATCAGCGAATGCTGTCTGTCAAATTAATTCACTAACAATAAAAGTGTAATATGAACAAAACGAATACCATAAACTTCAAATAATTGCCCAAGCTTTTATTTTCCCATACCGTCGAAATGCACCAGCTTGTTTTTGAGATCTATGAGGCGGTCTTCATCATTTAGTGTTGAGATTCATAGTGTTTAGTTTAGTTCACTCTAGTGTTTAGTTCATTGAGTCTCTGATCTCTAAAAATCTCCAAATGTTCCACGTGAAACTGCGGTCTTCCAACCTTTTACTATCATGTCAAATGATTTCAATAACATGCGCGATGGTAGGAGCACAAGTCATTTTTTGGAGGTATACTGCCCCCATCTGTTATGGAATATGGAGTAGGATTTGATTTATGATGTTATATGGCACCTTTAATGTAATTTAAGTTGAAAGGACTTAAAAATCCAAGTTGATTGTACTTTGTTTTACAGTGTATTCTTATTTGTAGATAATTTTATATATAAATTAGGGCTGTCAAATGATTAATCACGATTAATCACATCCAAAATAAAAGTTTTTGTTTACATGATAAATGTGGGTAAACTGTGTATAATTATTTTCTATGTATTTAAATACACACATATGCATGTATATTTAAGAAAAAAATATTTATATATAAAATATCTATATTTATATATAATATAATTTATATATAAATCTATATATACAGTATATACATGGAAATATTTGCTTAATATATACAAGCATGTGTGTGTATTTATATATATAAAATAATTATATACAGTTTACCCACATATATCATGTAAACAAAAACTTTTATTTTGGATGTGATTAATCACGATTAATCATTTGACAGCCCTAATATAAATATTATATATAAATATATATATAAAGCATAGTATGTATTTAAATATATTTACATAAAAACGAATAAAATTAAAGTAATATATATATATATGTTTAATTTTATTAGTTTATGTGATGTCATCTTAAAATTATGTTTGTCTACAAAAAACTGTATTTTGCTTTATTTTAATTTAATATTCAAATGTACACACACACACACACACACACATATATATATATATTGAAATATTAAAATATTATGAATAATATAGAAATAAATCATTATCATATTTAATATTAAATTAATTTTTGTCCAAATTCGTTATTATTGTCTTGCATTATTTTGAGGTTATAAATGAAGAGTTCAGATGCAAAAGCCTCTAAATGCCATTTGAAATTTTCTTCTTTAATGATGATTTTTATCAAACTTGTATATTTAAGTTCAGTAATTTCACTTACATAACAATTAATAGGTAATTATCATTGCCATTTAAGTGAAATCACTGAACTTAAATATACAAGCTTGATAAAAATTATCATTCTAGAAGAAAATTTCAAATGGCACTTAGAGGCTTTTGCATCTGAACTCTTCAAATATTTATTTGTAAACGAAATTATATATATATATATATATATATATAAAGTGATATTAAATTATAAAAATAAAACTATATATAAAATATATAAAAAGTGATATTAAATTATAAAAATATTTACATATTTTTAACATCAAAACAAATTGTCCAGCAAATAGTTTTTTCCAGCAATTAAATTATCAGATTATTTTTCATACAAAAAAAAAAACAAAAAAAAAAAAACATTTTATCACAATTGCCAATGGCTGGTCACAAAACTGCGTTTTGTATTATTTTAGGACTATGTATTTAAAAATGTAACATCTTAAGTTATATATTAAATATGAAATATATTTTTAAATAATCCAACAAAGTGAGATTTGTATGAAAAGGATTTAGCTATTTTTCTACACTTATACTTTTGTTGAAGGTCAATCTGCACATGTAATCTTATATATGAGAGTTCTAGTCACCAAAAATATCCAGAAAAACTTCCTAGATTAACTTTTGATGGTACATTCTCCACAGAGCCAAAAGTTTTAGCAACAAATGTTTGTCAGTATGTCAGTAATTAGATTCGCTTATATCAGCAAAGGTATTATATTGCAATTCCTAACAAATAACCAGCCAACTGGCTTTATTTACTCACCAAAGCCATTTTTGCTCACATTTGGCACTTGGGAGTGTTAATTTTGGATCCTAGATGCATTTAATACTGCATCAAGTGTGAAAAGCCCTTTGGACAGGATGATTGGACAGGAATCTTCATCCAGTTGGTATCTTTCACAACTGTGCCAGACAAGGGGTCAGTCCAATCCACTGAGGCGAACTAAAACGAAAGAAAAAGTTAGCTGTACTTTTAGAAAAGAGGATAACAATACAACTTCAGACATCCCTCAGAAAAGTATTTTCCCCTGCCATCAATTAATTACTTAGGAAAAGATGTCATTAGTGAGACTCTAGAGAAATCAAGGGCAAGAAAACACTTATTTTTCCCTCTCCCGTCGTCGTGTTGTTCTTCCTGTCATTGCTTCATTAATTTTCTCGGGGTAAATCACGTCAAGAGTGTGCATGTGTAAGCTGTCAGGGTGTAGATGTATCTATTCATCACCTCGGGGAGCGTGTGTGTTCCTGAAGTGGGGCCCGTGGGTAATCTTGACGGGGCAGGGACGCAGGGGAGGTCCGGCACGCCTTGTAAACAAGATGCTAATGTCTGATAAGAAAAGCTCATGCCTAATGACAAATTGCTAATAACGTCAGGAGACTGCAGAGAGCGAGAAAGTGTATTGATTATCCTTATTACCCAAAGCATTCGTCTCGGGAGATGAACGGGTGAGGGAAGGGGAGGAGGGAAATTAGCCTCTTCCCCCGTTGACGGACTGATTGCTCTGGGGGCCCTGAATAGGACAAATGCGTTCACACACACTAAAACAAAAAACCTCAACCTTCTGCCTGCGGGACGGGGACGCAACAGATGATCAAGTGAACAAACCTTCTTGTTTTTGATCGCCTGTAGAGAAGATCCTCTTGTTGAAAGATTTGTTGTTGTTTATATATTAATATGCTTTTAAGACAAACCATGTGCAAATTCTCCTTAAAACTGCAGTGAGCCCTATTCGCAATGGGATAAGTATAACCTCTTGACCTCTAGTCATTTGTAATAATTGCAAAGGTTTGTCTGTGATCTTAATCCCGTGCGAATCGGCCATGTCTGTAATTTTTATAGTAAAAATATTTCGCCGAACACGAGGTCCTGTGATAACGTTAGTCCCATGCGAATCGGCATCTCTGTGATTTGGCAGGGTCGTATATAACTTCCTATAGTATATAGTTTCCTGTGCACCTTTTTATCCGTTTTTTGCGAAGAATGGAGAGACTGCCCAGAGACCTGCTGGGTTTTGATAATATTTTGCGCAAAATCGAGTAAAATCACAGGCTTTGCTTATCACGAAATTCAGATTTCTGAATCACACAAGGTCGCCAGATAATACTAATCCAGTGCGAGTAGGGCTAAAGACAGTCTAAAAAACGTGGTTTGAAATTGCGGGTGTTTCTGACATCACAAACTACTTTGTAACCAATCAGGTCAATGTGTGATTGTCAACGAGTGGATCTCAGAGCTGGTGTGAGTGAGTGGAGGCGGGGATAATTTGCATATTCATAGAACCGCGTATATACTAAATGAGGCAAGGGTGTAGAGTTACATTCAAGCTATATTTTAAGGATTTTAGACATACATTCAAGTTATATTTTAAGGATTTTAAGCATACATTCAAGCTATATTTTAAGGATTTTAGGGAATTTAAGCATACATTCAAGCTATATTTTAAGGATTTTAAGCATACATTCAAGCTATATTTTAAGGATTTTAAGGATTTTAAGCATACATTCAAGCTATATTTTAAGGATTTTAGGGATTTTAAGCATACATTCAAGCTATATTTTAAGGATTTTAAGCATACATTCAAGTTATATTTTAAGGATTTTAAGCATACATTCAAGCTATATTTTAAGGATTTTAAGGATTTTAAGCATACATTCAAGCTATATTTTAAGGATTTTAAGCATACATTCAAGCTATATTTTAAGGATTTTAAGGATTTTAAGCATACATTCAAGCTATATTTTAAGGATTTTAGGGATTTTAAGCATACATTCAAGCTATATTTTAAGGATTTTAAGCATACATTCAAGTTATATTTTAAGGATTTTAAGCATACATTCAAGCTATATTTTAAGGATTTTAAGGATTTTAAGCATACATTCAAGCTATATTTTAAGGATTTTAGGGATTTTAAGCATACATTCAAGCTATATTTTAAGGATTTTAAGCATACATTCAAGCTATATTTTAAGGATTTTAAGCATATTTTCAAGCTATATTTTAAGGATTTTAAGCATACATTCAAGCTATATTTTAAGGATTTTAGGGAATTTAAGCATACATTCAAGTTATATTTTAAGGATTTTAAGCATACATTCAAGCTATATTTTAAGGATTTTAAGGATTTTAAGCATACATTCAAGCTATATTTTAAGGATTTTAAGCATATATTCAAGCTATATTTTAAGGATTTTAAGCATATTTTCAAGCTATATTTTAAGGATTTTAAGCATACAGTCAAGCTATATTTTAAGGATTTTAAGGATTTTAAGCATACATTCAAGCTATATTTTAAGGATTTTAAGGATTTTATGGATACATTCAAGCTATATTTTAAGGATTTTAAACATACATTCAAGTTATATTTTAAGGATTTTAAGCATACATTCAAGCTATATTTTAAGGATTTTAGGGAATTTAAGCATACATTCATATATTTTAAGGATTTTAAGCATACATTCAAGCTATATTTTAAGGATTTTAAGGATTTTAAGCATACATTCAAGCTATATTTTAAGGATTTTAGGGATTTTAAGCATACATTCAAGCTATATTTTAAGGATTTTAAGCATACATTCAAGCTATATTTTAAGGATTTTAAGCATACATTCAAGCTATATTTTAAGGATTTTAAGCAAACATTCAAGCATAAATTCAAGCTATATTTTAAGGATTTTAAGCATACATTCAAGCTACTTTTTAAGGATTTTAAGGATTTTAAGCATACATTCAAGCTATATTTGAAGGATTTTAAGCATACATTTAAGCTATATTTGAAGGATTTTAAGCATACATTCAAGCTATATTTTAAGGATTTTAAGCATACATTAAAGCTATATTGTTTAAAGGATTTTTTTGTTGATCAAAGATGAGTTTTATGGGATAATATTATTGACTACAAGAGGACTTTAACTTAATGAATCATCAAAAAACATTACATTCAATACACACTTAACATATTCTTCTCAAGTATATTATTTGCATGATAAGTAATATTTTATAAGTGTGCTAAAGTGTATTTCTTTTTCACAAAAGTGTCATTGTTGTCAGGAATCAAAGAGCGAGAGGTTTGGCTAATCCGTCTTGCCACATCTAAGAAAGCTTGACTTTCCCTGGACCAGATCCTATTACTCATAAACCCTGGTTGGAAAATACTTTTAGTTAACGGTGACCACCCTGAGAAGTCTTGGAGTCATAGTTTCATAAATCATGTGTTAATTTTCAGGTTTGGTGTTCTGGTGTGATTTGGTCACTCAACCACATCAAGTTTTGCAGGTATCTGCTGGAGATGGAAAAAATGCCTTTTTGATGGTTAATCTACAATTACGTTTTTTTTTTCCTCTGAAGTGCTGACTTCTCCAGAGAGGACCGGAGAGGGCTGTCTAGGTCATCATAGGACTGCCCGTCTAAGCAGTGCAAAAAAATGAGGTCACTCTTTTTTGCTGTTTCGTCAAAATCTGTTCCGGGGTCGAGTTGGAGACGCGGGGATCCAAACCTGCTTTTGTCTCAGGGACACATTTTGAAGACAAAGATGCAATAAAATAAAACATATTTTTCACGATTAAAATGATTATTTAGGACAAGTTTAGTCATTTTTATCCAAGGCGTATGACTGCTGTAATGTTTTATTGCAACTTTATTCAATTAAACTGAAACTGGCATGCTATTATCCATGTTATAATATAATATTATATTATATAATATTATATATTATTAAGCAAATTAAGTAGCATAATTTTTCAGCAAATAGCCCCTGTAACATTGGCTACATGTGTTTATTTACATTAAGATGCAATGTTTTTTTGTAACTTTTGTTTTTACTGTAACTTTAATAAGCTTTTCAGCTGAAACTGGTATATTATCCATGTTTAGATTAGAATTTATTTTATGAAATATGCTAAGAAGGCAGCAAGATATTCCCTGATTTAAGCTACTTTTAGCTACGTGTTAATTCACATAAAGTTTCCTTTTCCTTTTGTATTTATTAACCATAATTTAGCCTTTTTAATCATAATTTAGCCTATTTTATTTATTCGTGTTATTCTTCTAGATATACAACTGAGATGACGTCTGCCGCTGAACAGCTTCCGTTTGTTACAGCCTCATCTGGGATGTAGACTGTAGCCTAATAATACCCAATCAATAACCATATTTGTCTTACAGTAAACGTGCTAAAGTATTTATGATTTATTTGATTCTCCGCTCCAAATAAAACAAAAACGTCTGAACCACGTCGAAGAGGTCAGCCTAATGAATAGCTTTATTGAAATCAATTGAAAACGCTCGTCGCGAGAGAAAAGTAGTAATGGGCGCGCGAATCAATTCGACTGCATTATCACGCTACGCACTTTGCTTTTGGTCTGGACTCTGGTGGTGCGCGCATGCGCGTGGAGAGTCTCAGGTGGAGAGGTGCTCTAGTGAACAGATGTATTGTGATGCTGTGAGAGAGATGTATTGTGATGAAGGTCAGCCCTCATTGTGTGATGCTCCTGTAATAACGGGACTGAGTGACAGACAGCGCGGCAGCTCGGGTCTATTTAGTCTCTGCGGCTCTACAGCAATAGTCCAATCAACCCCTATAGGCCAATGTCTCATTCATCACGACAAACGACTATAATTGTGTCCTACACAGGGGATACCAAAGCGAAATTGTGAATTTTGCATTGTCTTTAACATAGTTTATCATAGGCCTATGCGTGAAATGGGGTAATGTTGTGTGTTACCATAGAAAATAAATTGAAACATTTGCTAATTTAGTTATAGAACAAAATGTAAAAAAATATTTAGAAGCTAAGTTCCACTCCTAAAGATTTACAGATTGTATAAATGACTATTGACATACTTATTATTAATATTTATATATTTTTTAAAGTGTCATTCATGTAAAACACTAAATCAACTATTCTATTTAAAATTGAATTTTGCAATTGAGATGAATAATTGAA